TAAAAAAAAGACAAGACATGACATGGAGAAATAATCCAATAAAAAGTAGGATAACTAAATGAATGTAATACATTCATCACGAGATGATGATGTGTTACATCAAGAGATGATCCTCACATTAATATGCTTTTACAGTCATAGCTGAAATTTTAATCCCACTGAACAATCCATAACTGTTTTTTTAAAAATTATTGTATGCTGTATTTAAACAATTTTTTGCTGGAATGAAGACTGCAGAATTCCATTAAATTTTTCTTCATTACAGTTTGTTAATTCTTATGCAGAATATATTTTTGTTATGTTATGAACAGTTATTTGCATTTATTATTTAATTAAAGCTGCCATGATTTTTAAAGTCTCTTAACTTTCTTTGACTTGTTTAGTTTAGTTGTGTTTTAATCACAACCTAGTCAAGTGGTGAAGAATAAATAGTAGATAACAGTGATGAATGAAGCTGAGTATCAGAGAAAACAGGTGTCTGATCAAGCTTCTGCTGAAATCCAGGAATAGATTCCTATTGACCTTTGTAAAAACCAAAAGAGAAATGATCTTTCAAATCCAGTTGTAAGCTTTATGAAAAATTAGCCTGGGCAGTTAAACACACTGAAACCCCCAGCCACAAGGCACATTAGTAGTATAATTTTTACACCTGAAAGGGAATATTGAAGTTTTATTTTTCTGATAATAGAAGAGTTGTCCTCTTATGTTATTGATTATGGATAACGTAGGAAGTTCTGAGTGGTCTTCTGAAGGACAAAATAAATTTTGACAGAATATGTGTAGATGAGGTATAACTGTATAACATATCATAACATGCCATATGTCAGTTAATTATATATTGCTTTGATGCTTACTGCTTAAAAATACCATAGCAGTTCTCAGAACAACCATTTTATATGAAAGAGAGAGAAAAAAAAGGACAAAGAGGGGCTCTGCTTTCTCTGCAGTCTAGGAACATTGCTGTTTACAGAATGACAGAATTCAATACTAATTATTTTGAATGTAGTGAATTTGACTCTTTAATACACAGCTGATAAAATTATTTTGCTCAAAAAATTGTGTGGGTTACAATTTTAAGGTGGTATGGAAGGTATGGAAGCTGAAAGAGAAAGGGCATAAACGGAAGATGGAGTGTTGGGATTCTTTGTTGAAAGTTGGAAAGAAAAGGATGATGTGTTGAATGCCAAATCAAAACACAAATAACAAAGGAAGGCTGGATGTAAGGAGAAGCATGAGAAAGAGATAAAAATTGAGGGACTCTAAAGGTGGAATAACAACATCTGGAATCAGGTAGGAGGTGTACTTCGCTGTATCTGAAAGGATGAAATTTCAAGGGAGAAGTCACACTGGACTGGGTAAAGAATGAGGTCAGTGGGGAAGAATTCAGAATGCCTGTTCATGGCAACTGTTGAAAAGGCAGGATAAAAGGATGGAAGCCAGAATGGGTTTTGTGCATTTCTTCTTCAAACAGTGAAGGAGAGTAAGGCACATTTCTGTCAGAAGTGTGAGGAAACTAATGAGAGTGAGAGGTTAAGGAAAGGCAGGGAGAGTAACAGGGCAGCAGGAAGAATGTACTGGATCACTGTCTGATGGTGGGAGTTAGGCAGTAACAAGTTCCAGAGTTCCTGGGGTAGAATAAAGGAGGAATAAATTTAATACCAATAGCCTTTCTTTAAAATGTGCTCTCATTTCTTAGTGGCTTTGCTTTATAACACTGCTGATAGCCTTGTGCCTCCTTGATATCACAGACAAACCGATGCACAGGCTATAGACTCCTCTCCTGTTATGCACACAATGTAGAGAGTGTGTTCCAGTGCTGTGTCCAACAGGGATGTTGAAGTAAGGTTCTGCTTTTTATTTTCAAGGGCTTGGGCTTTCAAGACTTTGGACTGAATGCCAAAAACAATTCATCAGGAACGCTTTACAACTCAGCAATACAAAATCTGTTAGGAGACAGACACCCACAAGACAGAGTTTGGGGAGGAAATATGTAAAGCACTGGTTGACCTCAGCATGATTAATGGTTTTTAGCACATTGAACTCTGTTGCTTACAATGTGAATTTTACCCTGGCTCACCCATAGTTGTTTATTTTTTTTTTTTTTTGTAAGGAGGTGGAAACTCTGTTTGTGAAACTTTCATTCATATAGAAGTTAATGACAGTCCACATACAACAGCAAAATATTTATACTGGGACACTGCTGTCCCAGCTGATTCTACTTCTCAGCAGTTTGTTCCCTTTAAAAGCAGCCTTTAATAATTGCAGAATTTGCAGGGTTTATGCCTATCATCTCTGTCATGAAAGGATTATATGAAGCTCATTTACTGGAGTAGGGCACTGAATAAGATATCTTCCACCACTATGAAGTCACCCCAGACCCAGCTCCTTGGATTAATAATAACCTGAGTTTGAAGGGACCCCTTAGGATCAATGAGTCCAAACCCAGTCTTCAAAGAGCAATCTTGAACTGAAGCTATTTGTCTAAGAACATCACCCAACCACTTCTTGGACACTGACAGCAGCAAGTGTTCCAAGGTGGACGCTCGCTGTCTCCCCTAATCCAAGCATTCTGGTCCTCAAGTTTTGCTGAGCTGTGACATATTTCCAGTTACAGACAGGGCTCTACCTTTTGCTGCAGCAGGTCCTGCATTCAGAGGCACTTGGTCACCTGCACACAGTGAGTGGGATTTGTGACAATGTGCTGTAGCTGAAATGAACAGGGTAGGCCTGTTTCTGCTGACCATGGCTGGGATGAGGCTGTGCAGCAGCTGACAGAACAAGAGCTTCCAGCCTGTGAGCACTCTGAGGCTGTCCTGGACCATGGGTCAGCTACGTGTTCCAGTGTCTCAGAGCCAGGCATGCCAGACCTGGATAAACTACACAGCACATGGTAAGCACTGCTTACATCTTCTGAGCTGATTTGTTGGCTTTGTGACAGGATTCACAAACCCTCAATTCAAAGGACTCGACTTGTCCTAGTTTCAAGAAGGCCAAAGAGATCATAATTCTTTCGGGGCTTAGCTGCACAGGAACTATGCTCTCTTTTTTTTCTGAGCAGTATTGAGAAGGGAGAATAAAACAGGGGACTGCTATTAGCTATGAGTCACATATGGAGTAAATAAGTAAAAAAGCTGGTTCTCTCCCAAAGGCTAAAGAATTAGAGCTCCAACCTTCAAGTCACTACAGTGTCATAGCACTGAAAACCAGCAGCAGACAAAACTCCACTGTGTTAGAAATGCTCTGGGAGTAGAAGAAAAGGAGGAAGGTGGCACCTGTTTCATAAATATGTACCTTTAACCTGGAGCTACAGCTTTTGTCTGGTTGACCCATTATATAAGCAGAAAGTCCAGACCTGTTTCTGTAAGCTTGTACTATGCATTCATCTCTCAATATGACAGTTTCCATATTTCACCCTGGCTCTGACTTGTGTTACCTGTTAATCCTGAGCTAAGTTTAAAAGAATGAACGTATTCCACAGGGCTTGAACTTAGTTCAGGTGTTAGAATTCAACACTTTACATTTCTTTATATTTACTTTATGATATTTTTCATAATTGTTGAAGTGCAAGTTCAAAAGATGTACGTTTAAGCTCTGTAACAAAAAGGATGTTTTTAGAAACATCACCTAACATTTTGGAAGGTTTACTGCCTTTTTCTTATGAAGTTAATGCAGTTGAAATCTACAAAGTTCTTATTCACAGGAGTTATGTTTTTGTATTTATCACTTGCTGCTTTGAAGTGGTAAACAATTCTGACATAGTATTGAAAAATATTAAGATTAATGTAGAAAAATTAATGGATAGTTTTCCATGCAGTTCCAATGCTGCCATCATCATTGTAGCATTTCATAGTTTTCTACACAAACCATCCTAACCGTGTGATAAACATTTTAAATATTAAGCATAATCTTGATGTAAATGGTACTATATAGAAATATTTATATGCACCTTGGTGGTCAAGGCCAATGATTAATTCAGTGCCTCTTCAGACCTACAGCAAATTGCCTTCCCCAGCAGTAAGACAAAGAATGCAAAATACCCCAGATTCTGAGTTTTATCATATCATCTGCCTTTCTTTCTGAAGGTTTCTCTTAATTCCATGTTTATGAGGAAACATGAGGTTAATGTCCAAAGAAAATGTGGTGCATGCCCATGGACCAGAAGGGAATTGGTGAGGAATGGAAACTTCAGGAAGCAAAGAAGGTAATGGAGGGGCTGAAATGAAGGGTCACGTTTCAGAGGAGGTGATTTCCTGGTGATGCTGCTGTGCAATGGGATGGTTTTGGGGAGGGTAGAGGGGAGGGTGGGACAGTAGAGCAGGGCTGAAGTCTTAAGACCCATTTCAGGAGATAGGAGGTGGTTGAGTCATGACTCATTTGAACTCGGACACCAATTAATTATCTAAGGTTTTTCCTTCTCAGTTCTGGAAATAACAATTACATCTTCTAAGATATATTCTGCGTATCTATTTATTGGAAAACAACAGCATATAATGGAAAACAAATGAGCCTATCCAAAGAATAAAGTTACTTTGAGTAGTGCAATTTTAAAGAAATATACTTTTATTTTTTTTTTCCTGTAACCATTTTCAAGATAAAATATTGGGTCTTTTTTTTTTTTTTTTTTTTTTGCTGTTTCCCCCCATGTTTCCAATAGAAAGTAAGTTTGTTTTCAAACTTTAGTTGAGTTCCAACATGAAAAATGTTTAATATTTAACAAGTTAAACAACAAACGGTATGAACCTTTCAATTGCTGTGTTCTGAAGAAAAGCAAATAAGAAAGTTAAACCTTGTATTTGAGTTACCAGATGTAGGGGAATATAATGTAGGTAGTATAGAAAGTAATCTTATTCCGTAAGGAGTTACAGCTGAGCCAATTACTAAAGATTAGGAGCAGGCCTGATGTTAACAGGCCACAGCTGTAGCCAATCAGAAGAGCGGTATAAAGGAGTGGGTTGGTTGGTTGAGGGGAACTGGAGTTAGTGGTTGGTGTGAGGACAAGGTGGAGTCAGTGCCTAGAGGAGCTGCCTGCAAGAAACATCAAAGAGGTACAAAACTCTAGCATCTGGATCCGTTGCAATGTAATGACAAGAGAACTCTAGCACTATAATGACAACAACCTGTGGTGAGTGGGATAAAGATGTGATAGGTGTTGCAGGGAAGTGGACATTTTGAATTCTGGAGCTTTTTTTTTTTTTTTTTTTTTTTTTTTTTTATTGTTACAGCTATCAGAGCATACAAGACCAAATTTGGTTTCTGGTGTCTACTTTTTAATGGAGCGGGGACACAGTGACATATAAAGGTGGCATATCTTTGGAGTTACCAGAATGCTGTTGTGACTTGGTACAAATCCTGCCTGCTTCTGGTTCAAATGTGACTCTGAAGCAGGAGTAAAAGCAATGCTGTGTGTCTGTTCCTCTGCTCTTTCCATGTTTCATGGGCTGAAGTCACCCAAATTCAGCATCTGGGAACTGCTGAGCTCCTGCAATAGGGGTAGGTTGCTGGTTGAGGCCAGACTCATATATGTTAAGTAAAAGGTGTTTCTCCTAAAAAGTCTGGTTGTGCTCCATGAAAACTCAGGGAAGTAGATTTCAGCCATGGCTTTCAGCTGTAATTTTGCCAAAATACTGGGCTTGCTTTCCTTGTAATTCTTCCATCTTAAGGTTGACTACTTTGACTGTTAATTCAAAATGAAACTTTGGGCCAGTATGTCTGCTTCTGAAAAATGGAAAAAAAAAAAGAAAATAGCTGAAATCTCAAATAAAGGATTCACTTCCATTAGAGAATTTTATAAGGTGATATGTGGCATATAAAACCTTGTATTGGGAGCTTGGGATCACATGCTTGTGTTTCTGCTTTCTCTCATCTGGAGTGAGCGTGGACTATCTGTGTTATGGTTTGGACTGGAGATGGTTTTTCCCTTTCACTTAAATTGGTGACTACAGGATGTGGCAGTTCTAATCATACTGAAAATTGCTGTAATTGTTATCAGGCAATAAACATTCAATATATTTTTGTAAGAAGTGGAGCTTAGTGGAAATTTTCCAGTATTTGAGAAAATAGCTGGAAGCAAAATGGTAAGGATACAAATTGAATTTGGACTTTAAATACTGAGAAAGTTGGCCTGGCTTATTCTCTTAAGAAACAGGATTACTGTAACACGCAGAGCAATGCAAGACATGTTCTCAGCTAAGGATGAATATGAATGTCTTTTTCATATAAAAACACATTGTAAGTGCTGCAGGAATGCATACCTGTCATAAGCATAACTGTTGTACAGAAAACAGAACAGGATTGTGCATTAAATGTTCTTACAAAGGACATAATTTTCCTCTTTGGTTCTCTCAGCTGCCATATATGGGCAACTTTTACCAAATGAGCCTGCAATAAAAACTCTGTATTTTGCATTCACCTTAAAACAATCAAAAGATAATGTCCATATAATTTAGGTGAGAGCTGTTATTTATTACTCTGAAATTATAGTACTTTTTAAAGTACTCCATATGTGTCAATGGGAGGGAAGATTCTTAAGTTGTTAACATTTGATCTCCTGTTATAATTAATCAGATCCAGAATGTAGCTTAAATAATGTGTTTATATAGTGTTGTCTAAGAGTTTTACTTACAGTACCTCTTTGAAACTGTCTGTATTGAATGGGACTAAATATAGGTGCAGTCTTTTTCCTTTTGATAAAACACATTTCCACCAGATAATCCTCTTACTTTATTTTAAGAATTGATGATTTTAGAAAAGGTAAAACTAATTCTGAAATCCCGTAAGTATTTTATAGGCCTTGTAATGTCCATAACTCATTTGCTGGAAGCATTGCAGGATGGGAATAAAGTTCTTGGATTATAAAGTTCCCATTTAAAATAAACAGGAGGAAACATAGGGGAGAGACAGAAGAGTGTAACTTGTTTAACATTTAACAAGCCTCTTGATCCATTTTCTGGACTAACTGCCGTGTTTTTGAAGATAAAAACAATTACATAAGGTATGGGGGTGGTTTTCATGCTCTGGGGGTTGAGAGAATTTTGGTTCTTTACAGAAGCAGGAATGTGACTATTTGACTGAGTGTCGAGGCTGATTTTTTTTAAAAACATTTTTCTGAGTGCATCTGTGAGAAATCCAGGTCTTGCTGAAATCAGTGAGAATTGCTCATTCCCTTTAACAGGGCCAGGATTTTGTATGTGAATGTTCAGGATTTCGGTCACTGGCCGGCTCCAGTGGCACAACGTTTCAGCTTTTCTTTTTTACTACTGCAAGCTGCCTCATTCCTGGCCCTAGACTGCAAAATGACTTCCAGGAAATTTTCTTTCTGGACAAGTACAATGTTGATGATGGTAGCATGGACTCTGGTTAGCTGAAGCAAAGCAATATTGTGGTTAAGGACTGGGAGCCCACTAATAAAGTCTGTACATTTGGTAGGCCGTGGATGATGTTAGACTGAGTCGGGTCAAAGCTCACTCTTGTAAATTTTGGCCAACAAGTGGGAAACTCTTGCATGGGATCCTAATGTTAGATAAAGAGCCTTGGTCAGAATTGGGATATCTGATAATGCTGTAATGCAACTATCAGAGAGAATGGATCATGCAGGAGAGGAGACCTGGAATCTCTGGATCTCTAACAGAATGAGGATTTGCTTTATGCTGCCCTGCAGACAGACACCCAAATTCAGTCAGCTTGACCCTCTGACATATGCCTGTCTCCAAAATGGATTAAGGAAAAAAATTACCAAGGTCAACTTAGAGATAAGGAACTTAACACATTTTTCAAAGTCTCAGTGGTAGTTAGACCTGACTTTATTGCAGACCAGTGAATCTTGAGGTTCTTGATGCCTAATTTATGTCTGAAAAAATGGAGCTGGACACCAAAGTCATCTATCTACTGATAAGCAAATGTAAGTGTTCCTGTGTATTGTATTTGTGGGGACCCTTGTAGCAGGGAGGAGTGATGAATCTGACTCCATGTTCTCAGAAGGCTAATTTATTATTTTATGATACTATATTATGTTAAAAAAATGCTATACCAAACTAACTAAAGAATATAGAAAGGATACTTACAGAATGCTAAAAAGATAATAATGAAAACTTGACTCTCTCCAGAATCTTGGCACAGCTTGGTTGTGATTCACCAATGACTGAAAACAACTCACAGCAGAAATTAATGAAACGATCACCTGTGGATAAACAATCTCCAAACATATTCTGCATGAGCAAAACACAGGAGAAGCAAATGAGATAATTGTTTTCCTTTTTCTCTGAAACTTCTCATCTTCCCAGGAGAAAAATCCTGGATGAAGGGAGTTTTCAGAGAATGTGAATGCCACACCTGTGCATTGTCTGCGACTGACTTCTGGGCTCTACTCTTTGGAAGAGACATTCTCAAATTCAAGGTAGGGGCCAGAAGCCACCCCAGACACTGAATAAAGGTGCCAAACAATGGGTTTGAAGAAAGTGACTGAGAGATGAGTTTGTCCATTTGCCTACCAGGCTGTAATTTAGCTCATGCCTGAGAGCTGGATGTGGGATTCCTAGTTTGGCAACCTCTAATGAGGTTTCAGGTGGGAGGCTGGTGTTAGAGGTACTCACGAGGCCAAGGTGGGTCACATGGAGTCCTGCCCTTGCACAATGCTCCCAACATTCCTCCCAGCAGGTCCTCTGTTCAGTCTGCATTGCCACTGCTTTCCACTGGGCTGCAGTCTTTTCAGGGCTGACCTGGAGTTTGTGTGTTCCTCTGTATGGCCTTAAGAAAACTGGGGTTGAATGAAAAGTGAATTCCATAAATCCTTCCCCTAGGATGTATCTTCAGTGGAAGAGAGAACTGTCCTCTAAGACAATTCAAATACCATCATTCATCACAATGGTTATATTCAGATTTTAAGTTACTCTCCTAATACAGTTATAAATGCATTGTACAGTCATCTGGTGGCTGCATATTAGGCAATGTTTCCCAGAAGTTTCCACTACTCACAGTATCTTTCATAATTTTGGGGGTTAGGCCAATTTGTGATTTTGGTTACAATCCCATTTTGTTAGTTATTGCAAGCATAAAGAAATAGATGGTTGTATACAATCTCCAAAAATGGGAGAGTTGAAAAGGTAATTTTAAGTTATACTGAGTGCAGAGGAATGTAGAATAAGTTGGAAGTTTGAATTTTTTTTTTTTTTTGGAAGATGAACTCGAGCATGAGCATCATCTAACCTATGAGTTTCAAAGCAAATATGTAGAGTTCTGAACATTCCATGTGCTTGAAATTGTATATTTAAAATGTAAGCCTCTAAGAAGATGTGTATTTTGCCTCTCTTAGTTTCCTCTCAAAATTGGTAAAATGTTTTGGATTAAGCATATTCAAACAATTTGTGTCTGCAGAAACTACAGCGGATGCTCTGTGTGTTCCAGTTTGCCATGCTGCCGTTCAAATCTCAGATCTGATGCAGTAAACAGAGGTGGTGTTTTTGGTTTCCTCAGTCCCTGAGCAGCTTCCCTGCTGTGTGTTAGCCACACCACTAACTCTGTTGCAGGTCAAAGGGAAAGTTGGCAACTTTACAGCTTGGACACCTCTGCAAACAGCGTAGCCTATTCCCATCTCTTTCCGGATGATACTGGAATTTCCTACTCCTGGTGATTCATGTGGCTATTTTCCTCCTCCCCAGAGTCTCTGTCTATGCCTTGGACTTGGTTCCTCTGTTCCCTTACCTGTGTGAAGTAGCTGGGGACAGGTCTGTGAGGGAAGGCAAAATACTTCTTGCAAGTGGACAGTTTGTTTCAGATAAGGAAGTGAGGGGTGTGAGGTGGCTCAATATATTGCTCCAGGAGGGGTTTGCTGGAGCCAGGAAAATCCAGCTCCTGCAGACTGGCTCCACTTTCCTTTCACCCCCTCCTGTGAGTAATGTGAGTTGTTTATTTCTTCATAGGCGCCCTTGCAGAGAACAACTAGGCGTTCATTTCTGTTCCCACCTCCTCCTTGCCTCGGCCTCTCATTTTTCCTTGAAGAAGTGGGCAAAGCTGCAAGGGAAAACACCTTCACTGCCTGTCCTTGTGGGATCACAGGGCACTGGGGCAGAACCAGATGAGCTGCCTGAGCATGGGGAGGAGTAGGACACTGTGCTGTGTAGGATGAATTTTGCTGAGGCTTGCAGCCCACTCCAGACTTGTCTGCTCCCAGACCCTGAGGAGAGATTTAGATTCTTTTGCTGCTGCCCATGTGCTTGTGTGCAATATCCTACCATAGATTTCATACATTTTAAAATGAATTAGAACCTTAACCTCCTCTTCCTTTGAGTTCTCTGTAGTAATTGTATCCTTCTGCTATTAAAGTTCTAAATAATGACTGAAATAGATGTTTATTTGATAATTTACAGTTTGAAGAGGATTTTGAAAAGAAATTCATCTCTTTACATGGGAAGACACTATGTAATCTTCGAAGACATTCCAAGTTTCCTCAATATTTTACAGTCTTTTTGCTATTTATTTTGTATCTCTTTTCTTGAAAATGTTTATTTTGGGTAGGTCAAAACAAAATTCTCCCTATGTCTCTCATCAGCTGTAAGATGAATGCACACAGTTGGAACATGTTCCATTGAAACTCTCATGCCGAATAAACAAAGTCCTGACCAAAGGCTTGACTCATGATAGATCTTTAATGACTATTGTCATGAAAAAGTATTTAACATATTCTCCACCAAAAGAAGGGTGTAGCTTTGCTGCAGAGTCAGCAACACCTCAAAATTAGGGACAAGGAAAGATTGAAAGGGGAAGGCTGATGTGAAACTGGTGGGCATTGGAAAGAAGCTGGGCAGCTGTGGGCTCATTCAAGAGGGTGAAATAAGAGTGTTGGAGGTCAGGTGTGTCACAGGGAATTTCTGGTGTCACTGGTCAGGCTCTCCAGATGGAGTCAGCCTACAGAAATGGGTGTTATCCCAGGGTGTTGCAGGGGTGTAGTGACCACTTGAGCTCCTGTGGGCTGTGTCATACCAAACTGTGATAAAGCAATTTTGCCTCACATGTTCACACAGTCTGTGGGGAATCTCAGGGATTGTTTTGGGAAGAAATGTTTGGTATTTTGATGGATGAAGCTGGAGGTGCCTACAAAGTCACTGCACATCCTTAAACAAAGCTGATCTGTTTCCTCTGCCTTTTCTACTTGTGTGACAGTGAGTGTAACACTTGGCAGTCAACAAACACTGCATGCTGCTCTTGTCATCATGTGGTGGGGCAGGAAAACTGCTGACATGTAAAAGTGCAGAGAAAATCAAGCAAAAGTGATTCATAGCTTGGAAGGCTCTGTGTCCTGGGGAAAGATGAATCAAAATGGGCCCACAGAGCCCAGGGATAATAATATGCATGCATGTTATAGTTACTGGGTGATAGAAAAATATCTTTGGGTGAGCTGGGCCAGATTCACAGATGTTATTTTAGGAGGTACATTTATTATTTTTGCTATTAAGAAAGGTCTCTCTTGTAAAAGTCTAATCTCTCTGTGAGTGAGGGGTTCGGAAACCTGCACTGTATAGATTACAGACCCATGGTATTCACAACAGTCATAAGGAGGACTGAGTAGAAAGTCCAAGAAAATTACACTTTCAGACCATTGCTTAGTGAAGAAAGGATGCTATGAGAGCTGTGGGACAGGCTTATCAAAAGGAAATAAAACACTTTGGTCCTTGAAGAGTTCAGGTATCTGAGAGTGGCTCAGACTATAATCTCATTCCCTGCAGCAGTAAAAAATTAAAATTCTCATTTTAATTTTAGTACTACATGTTACTTGATAAGTTTTGGGAGGTGTGCAGTTATTTTTCTGTAGGTCTAATTATCTTTAAGATGAAGACAGTGATTGAAATGGTCTTGAAGATTTGATCCTATTTAGAAGATTAAGAGATAAAATGTCCTTTTAACCAATGTGAACATATACACAGATGATATGAGAGGAAGCACCAGTTTCAACTGAATTTCTAAAGGAGTATATATAATAAAATCATTCACTGAGTATGATTAGATATTTTTATTCTAAAGAAATTTTTGAACTTGTTGGCCATTTTTACTGAATTTAAGTGCCAATGTTTTTTCAGAATTGTGAAGCTCCTTTTTATTATGAGAAAACTAGAGCTAGGAAAGACATTTTGCATGGATGGATGGAAAATATTTAGTAGACATACCCTGATCAAGCCACTGGCATGCACAATGTTCAGAAACAAGCACAGTGCCTCTTGCTTGACCTGAAGCTGATGGATACAGGAGGGGTGGAGGAGAGCATTGTGGATCACAGAGAGGGGAATTTATCAAAGGAGTATGGAAAAGGGGCTTGGACTGTAGCATTACAGAGCAGGGAATGATGCAAGCCACAAATCTCTAGGAAACCAGGCTTTATTAGTTCCACTGCTTTTGGAACAACTTGTTTAAACTTCCCTTGTAGGTAATTAACTTTCTAATGGCACTGTGAGATGGGCCACCTGCAGAACCCTTGGGCAGGGGGATTCACAAGCATGTGCAGTTCAAAATAAGGCCTCATGGAAAACCAGGCAAAAGTGCGTTAGAATAATATTTACATTCAGTAGCATTAAGTACATCTGTTTGTTATTAGTGGGAGGCTGAACTGGCTCAAAAATCTTCTGCAAGAGTGACCCAGCAGCAGAAGGCCAGGTACCTCTGACAGCTTTTCTACAGCTACCAACAGAGATGTTTTCAAAAACATGACAAGATTTCCCTCTCAATGTCAATTTGAGTACAAAGAAGATAAAATTTAGATTACTGTAATATACAAATATTCCATCTCTGTCCTTTTAGGTGTTTTGCTTTGTCCTTATTTTCTGTTACTCCTGTGTTTACACAGTAAGAAAACTGTGAAGTTTTCATACAAACTAAGGGAGCTCTGGCTGAAATCAGTGCAAGCAAAAAGATGGTCAACTTGTTTGAAAAAGCAAGGGTGATAGGCGACAGTCTTTAACTTAATAATTTAAAATTTTCTATGAGTGTCATTTAATGCAAGAAAATTATTGCGTCTTACTATGTCAAACATGGACACAGAACATGCATTTTAATTTTTTTTTTAGTTCAGCTTAGTATGCTTACTATAAATTTGATGTCTGAAGATTGTACACATAATTGCTAACGAGGATTAGTGATTTCAATGTAGCTGTGATGATTTAGGCTATCTGGAACTAATGTTCCAGAAATTGAATGGAAATGGAAAAGCTTTTGCGTAGCTAAGGACAGAGTCCTGATACTTCAGTCCTGTGTCTTAGACGTATATGTGTGTGCTTATGCACAAAGCAGTATTGGGGAGATGGGTTACTCTAGCTTAGGGCTTAGGAATTCTACTAACCATATACTCAGGCTTTTGTGTTTAGTTTTGTGTTCTACTAGAGGTTTATTCAATGTAAAGCTAACTAGTAACAGCTATTTGTTTATATTTCTGTCTCTTGAGATTTTTAAGAACCTGAAGGGAAAGGAAAAAAAGACATTCTGTATATGTGTGTTTACATATAACACATAAAACATAAAACTATGTTGACCCCCCATCTGTGTTAATCTTTCAACCTCAAGTATCCACAAGTTTCAGAGAGATTTCTAAATCTGGAGGTTGTTGTGGCAAACTCTTACTTAACCACAGATGATTGTTGTCTTTCCTCTAAGTTATTTAAAAAATCTGTCCATCCAGCCCCTCTGAAAGTTTCCTTTATCTTTCCCTTAGATTGACACTCACTGTCAAAAACTGTCTTCCTCTCTGGTTCAGAGCCTGCTGTCTCTATTCTCTGAATGTTTGTACAGACTGCTGTTTCCTGGCCAGTTTACACCTTCAGTAATCTTCAATAGACATTGTGTTGCACCTTAGTATTGCAGCTACAAATTCTTGTCCTGTACAGTCTCTGGGATGAGAGCTCCTGGGCCCGTTTTGTTTGCAGGGCACACTAAAGCCTGATATAAGTGATAGAGGTCAGTTCTGATGCCCAGCCACATGCACCCATGTTATAAAGATTTCCTAGGATGTGGGTGTGATGGTTCTGTGGGGCTGCCAGGCATCATACAGAAGTTTTGAAGGTCTCATGTGTCCCTGGGAAGACATGGCTCTCCTACTGCGGACCAGAGGATACCCAAAGGTATCTCTGGTGGCACTCACCTCTTACTTCAAAATCATAAAAGCAGACATTTATTAATTATGCAATTTCCAACAGTTAAAACAATTTTTAAGGAGAGGAAAAAGCAAAAATTTTGATTTGATCAAATCTGGAAGAAATCTGTCATGGTTATGATAAAAGAAAAAGAGCATTGATTAAAAAAAAACACCTCCAAAGAGATCTGACACAATAGCAACAGATGTAGAGCTGTGTGTCTGGAGATTAGCAGCAGAAGTAACCCCCTTGTGACAAGACTCACAGTGTTGTTTTGTGGTTTAGGAAAAGCAAGTAGGTATGACCAAAATGACTGTCCTCTGGGAAGATGGGGTCAAGGGGCACATGCTCGAGAGCCACAAATATGAGCTATTCAGAAAACAAACAAAGACCTCTAAACTAAAATGTGCAGGCGACTGAAAAGGTCCCCTTGTGAGAATCACAAAGAATGAAGCAAAGGGAGGTGATGAGGTGTGTTTGGAACAGTGGCCTCATCTCCTGTGTAAGTGCACCAGATGAGGAGCAATGTGGGTCAGTAGGTCCCACGCTGACTTCAGGATCTCCAAAGTCCTCCAGTCTGCATGAGGCTTTGGAACACAGCTGCTCCTTTAATGAGTAGTAATGTGGGTGGGTAATGTGTTCAAAATGTGTTGGTTTCTAGAGCTGTGCTATTTAAACAGCACAGAACGGCAAGACTTTGGAACTAGCCTTAACATTTTATGGGCAGTGTAGCTGCCTTTATAAAAAGGAAGCAAATATTAATTAAAAAATGGGAGACCACCTACTTAAAATATAACTCTGCAAGACAATAATTTCATTAAAACAAACTTACATGCAAGCAGTGAGTCACCTTTTCACTTCTGTAAATGTTTGTGCAGTGTGCATCTGTTGAAAATCATTTGGATTCAGAAAGGCATGGATTTGATTCTCTCCCTTCTTGCACTAACTCCTATTAGTACTTAGTAGGTAGATCACTCATTCAGGGATTTACTCATTCAAGAACTCACTTCCTTCAGTCTCCCTGCTGGCTGAAAGCTTTCTGCTCTGATATTGGGCTTTCTGATACCAGCTCTGGGCAGTGGTACTACTTGTTTCCTATAAACCCTTTTCATGCTCATGTAAAAGGTGATGGGTCTGCTGAAATCAGGCATCCTTTTTCAAACAAAATTTTATATAAATAAGTTGAACTGGATTCCACTCAGATCTTTCAGGCCTGGTCTAATATGTCTTCTTTTCATTCTGGTAATTTTTTATTTGCTCCAGGTTTTGTTGTTTTCCTCTGTTACAACTATTTTGAAGAGTCTCATTTTGTTATGTGTGGTCACTTATCTGTTGCAACCCACTTAGTGGCTTCCATATGTTGCTAAAATGTGTTTGGAAGAGGGGATTAAGTTACTGTTTCTAGCTGTGAGTTTGGTCACTTGAACACGTTCACTGGGATTGAGATCCTGGAGTCCACAAGAGCCTTCCAAGTGGAGATTTTCTCTTTTTTTTCCTTTGCAGTGGGG